ACCCTAACAATTATTTGAGTGGACATAACGACGGACCCCAAACATGTATTCATTTTTTTTTGTCATGGTTATGATCTGTCAAATTTAGAAGAATAATAAGTTATTACCATTCCCAAATGCTTTTTATAATAATTAAATAATGCAATTTTACTAATAGATAAAGAAATAGATATTACAATGAATTATAATTCCTAAATAGTAGCCAATCGAGAAACAAAGAATTAAACCTATAACATCTAATAACAAGGCGCTAAACACTCATAAACGAATCATTCAATTACAAATAAGAACCCACTTAACAGTAGTGATTATAGGACTAAGCGCTATAGGGGCAATAATATGGTTACCAAGTATAAAGACCACCAATTAAACATCACTAGCTATATGGAAGTCTTAAGCAAACCCCAAGAAGTAACAAAATAACAAAAAACAAAAAGCCCCAATTAACAAAAAGCAAAAGAAGAAAAAAACAAACCTTTCGAACTGCGGGATCTAAACCCCCTTCCACTCACCAAAGCAACTCTTGAATTGTGAATTAAGAGTTTTGAAGCTAACCCCTTAGGCATTGTTGTCTCTTTCTCCCTCAATAGTTAGGGTAAATTAAAGGTGAGAGTTTTCTCCCCACTTATGAGAGTTTCTTCCTCTCTTGTGAACGTTTCTAAGGGTTTCTACCTTGACTTTTTTGATAGCTTTTATCAAAATTCATTTTTGTTGGAGGAGGATGGCAACTTGAATGCGGTATTAGTTGGACTCTAGATTAGTTGTCACGTTTGTTTTGATTGTTGAGGGCATGGATGGGGATGGAATCCCTAGCTAAATTTTTTTACCCAACCAGGATCTAGCACAATATTCATGTAGGTATTAAATTATTTGATTTTGCATTTTCATGCATTTCATGAGTGTAACATCTCTAGCATATTGCCCCAAAATTCTTTCTTAATTTTCATAGAAAGTGACACCTAAATATTTCTACCATGTGGTGGCCAAAATGATGACTTTTAGGAAAACACTTTGTTGTGGTCATATTAACAAACTACGCAGTCCAACCAAAATAGACTGCAAGATTAATAAATTTTATTTGTAAGATTGTTCGTATTATGGACGGTGAAAACCTTGATATACAACTTAACGTCTACAACAAAGACAAAGACTTTGACTTGCGACTTGGATTTGGGTTTTTGACTTGGAAAATAGAAATGGGCGAGAAAAACTAAAATCTTAAACATTTACAGTACCTTTTATAGTGTTCACCACCCACTCAAGATTCAAATGATATGAAAATTAAAAATTGTGTAAAGATTGAAAATTTTGGAGGCTCGCACATTTATTCAAATAATGGTAAAAAGTAATAATGAAAATGGACGAGAAGGGTATTTTTTTAAATCTGAAAAGGAATAATAGAATGAACATTAGAGACACTCAAAAGAAACTCTGAAACCTCACTCTGATTACATGTATAAATAATTAAAAACAAATATTTTTAGGGCTTGTTTGGTTGTGCTAAGAGCTAATCTATAGTCAAACTATAAATTATATAAGATTTTATTTTTCCTTTCGGTTTGGGACCACAATGAAGGAATTATCATAAATTGTTTTAACAAATTTTTATTTTAACTGCTCATATTTTGATGATTCATTGTAACAAAAAGTAAGTAAATTACATATTTTATAATTATTAATTAAAAATAAATTTTTTAATATTATGGTGATCATTATTTT